CGATAAACACCATAAACTGTTTTTTTTCCTGGTCATCTTCCAGTATTGACTGAAACATACCCAGCTGTGTCCAGATTGCTCCAGAATCCCCCATGATCCAGGAAATGGGTTTGATTGATGAGACGTTCACACTGAGTATAGCATGAGAGATGACAGTATGTTTTCAGATTTGGTTTCCTACTCTGATAAATATATTCTACTCTGATATTTATTGTTGTTTATTAAGCTTGATGTTGGAATACACAAATATTACTGTCACATTTAATCTTTAATATATTGTATAGTTTTCCTAATAGATTTTCTCACAAATGATTCTTATTATGAATGTCTGTTACCGTGTCCACATTAAATACAGTAATGCTTTCACAGAAATCAGGCAGCAACAAAGGAGAATAGGCTTGACAAATCCCCCAAACTAAACAGCAAAACAGACTATCACTGGCTTCTAAAATAATCTGCCACAGTGATGTCTTCATGATTAAGGATTAGTGACGTTTAGGAAACTAAACCTACCTGGGTGATAGCAAGTAAAAGGCTACAAGGTTAAAGATAACCAGTGTTGACAGTTGGTTTGAGATAAGGTATGAATGGTGGTGTCAGAGTCAAACACTTTGCCGGTTGCTTTAAGAGTCAGAATTAGATTTTCTAGCGAGGACAGTATGCACTAAATGAAGCTGTAAGCCCTTGCCTGAAAGTCACTGTGTTCGCTGTTACTATAATACAGAAAAACTAAAATTATCAAAAATAATTTAAAGTTTAAAGAAGCATTTAAGAATGAATCAGTGGCAGGTGGTTGTACCTGAATTATGATCCTGAATGTCATGGAGGAGATACACTTAAAAGGTCAATAATTTTTTCAGTCTAAGAGACCAGATGTGGGGTGAGGAACAAGAGCTGCAACTCTGTATCAAGAAAAGGTCATGAATGTATTGTATTTTCAGTGTGTGTGAACCTGAAGAAGAGCTGGTGATTTTCATTATAAAATGACATTTGCCTCAGTTTGCGCTCCTAGCCTCCTGCCAGTCTGTCAAAAAAGGCTGATTTAACACAACCGAGTCAACACAGCTGAGTCAAGTTCAAGTGTAACTATGTTTGATTTCATCTGCAACACCTGCACGTTTATCAGTTTCAGCTACATACAGCATTGCGCCTTGACATCTTTGCAACCTTAAAATGTTGGTTAACTAAACTCAAATTGAAGAATCAGTTAAAAGTTATGAGTTATGTTAAACAATTTCAAAAAATTTAAGATAAGTTGATTTAACTGACAAGGATAATCATCAGATCAGTTTTTTTCTGAGTGTTTTTGTTGGTGCTTTATAATCATAATAAACAGTGACGCCTTGTGCTAATTATGAGTCATGATTTGCTTCTTTTTTGTCAGTTGACACAAAAATACCACAAGAAGATACAGAATGGCCACAATGAGACACAGAACAACCACAAAGAGATAAGAAATTCTCACAAAGAGACAAAAACTGACTACAAAAAGACAGAAACTTTCAGTTTGAGTGCTCAATATAAAATGTCTTTCTGATGTTATGTGGGTAAACCATCTCTCTCTACCTCCCCTGTGTTTCTGTGCTTGTTCCAAAATAAAGGTTAGAGGATGAGCTGGATTCCTGCTTGTTTTCTCAGACCCTGACTGTAATCTGAGTTTACATGCACAGTCTGGTCTTTCATTTGGCTTGGTGAGTCACTATACTGTTTACAGTAACCTGGATAAGATCCTGATCCTGGGTTGGAGGCACCGGGGCTACCTCCAATATTTATCGAAAATGTTTTTTTATTGCACCACATTAATTCACAGGGTCAACAGTACTATGGATAAAGTTTTTCCAGAGTACTGTCTGTAAGGCAATTCTGTTTAAAGTACTGGTAAAGATAGAGGCAGGGGAGTTGACATCCATGCAGAACCTGCACAGCGCACCACATACGCAACAGTAGCAAAGCGTGCAAAAAGCCGTTTTTCCGCTGTAATGTGAACATACCTAAAGTGGCCATTTGCGTGGAAGCAACACACTTCATCTGATGTATCCACCCAAAGGCTCCACTGCACGCAAATGCATTTTCAATGAAAAATATGAAAGAATATTTAACAGTGCCTGCCAGCAGCTTTGAGTGAATAGTACAGTGACAATAAGAAAGCCCTGTTTTGGCAGCTGGAGGGTTGTTGGCCACGAAAATAATTTCATTAATGCCACATAGATAGTGATAGAAAATGAAGCACATCACAGAGACGAGGCGTTCCCAGGCCAGCCGAGAGACATAGTCCCTCCAGCGTGTCCTGGGTCTTCCCCGGGGCCTCCTCCCGGGGAGAAATATCACTGCACTTTGTATTTACATTAACTGAGGTAAAATGGTTTTACCTTTGTGATGGTCACTGAAGTAGCTGAAGTAAGCGGGGCAAGTTATTGTAACCACTTCTCCGACTCTGGCTGAAGGCCAACAGGCAATGATGTCCCACATGCCTTGGCAACCTGTCAGAGGAAGTCAGTACCATTAATATGACATCACTCATATTGTGACACACACACACAGACACACACATCACAATGACAACATTTAAATCACATGTTTAACATGACACCCTTGATGTAATCAGTGTGTGTGGTGTGCACTGACAAAGAGGTGTAAGACTCCCTGTTTTCTGCTTTATGAAATATATTATTTATTTCAGTAAAGGTAGACACATTGATTTTCTTTAAACATTTGGTGCAAAATACTGATTCAATTAATCATCATTCTTCATCATTTGTCATGATGAATTATGGTGTTTTGATGCTGCAAACATTTAACACATGAAAGATAAACATTAGGAACACTGACCTGTATCTCAGATGATTCAATCTGCTTTAAATATATTTACAACTATTACATGGACTCCTGTGTTTCTTTGGCTACAAACTGCTGAACTTTACTATGAATGAAATGACAAATGTATTAAAATTGTTTATGGGTTTGTCTTGTTACATGTATGTTCAAAACATCGAGACAAATAAAGTACATCTATTTATGTACCAATAAATACTAATCAGGTAGTTTGTCATTTCCCTCAACACTGCTCCACACTATAGCAAAAGACAAGAGGATGAACATACAGTCTTTGTCCTTATTCTATTAAGAAGACCATACTTTTCAGTACTTTGTTGTTGTAATTGTCAGAAAATGTTTTTGTGCAGCTACTCTTTAATCATATTTTGATTACACTTTTATTTGCTCATTCATAATCTTTCTCCCTTTGGGTTCCACTAGCATTCAGCCAAAAAGTGAAACCTGTACATAATTTGTCAAGGGGGGGTTTATTTTCCTGGGGTGTTTTTTTTGTGTGTGTGATTAAATGTACAACCCCACATCAGCAGCACTTTGCACAGACCTACAGTATGACTAAGTACTGTAAATCTTCAGGACAAATTCAAACACAATACACCATTTGATGCTCAGAGCACAGTTCTCCTGACAGAGGACAGGCAGTTTCTTCAGGGCATCTTTGTTTGTTAACACACTTTATAATTACGTGTGTATAAAGCTGCACTAGTGCTGCATGTCCAAATAAACAACATGTCAAGACCTAGCGGTTTTTATGCTTGTTCTGTTTCATGGAGGCCAGTAAATTGCTGGACAACCTTTATATTTACACAGACTGTTAACATATGGTTCCTCATAAATGCACACACTGCTAATTCATTTATTAGGGAGGTGACCTCTCTGAGCAGCTTCCACTACCTTCCTGTTGAGGAAGTTGATAGGGAAGTAGAGAAATGAGGGTCACTGCAGAGATAAGGAGCAAAACTGTTTCAATGAAAGTAATTCATCTATATTTACTTAATGTACTATGAAGAATACTTTGTGTACCTACTTTATAATGAGAGCAAATGGAGATAGTGCTGACACAGGTAGATGGCTTACAGGAAGGAGAGCAAACCAGATACCACAGTGGGCCAGAGTATAAATAGTAGCAGTACAGTATAGTAGTAGTAGTAGTACAAATGTTATTCTTATTTTGTGCATAAGGGCATGGAGATTGTTTTTGTCATCCGGCTCAGCCAGCTGGGGTCTAGGCTCGACTGAAGAAGGACATTTACTCTATGGACCCAAAAATGCACAGAACACCACTGAGCACCTTTTGTACGACTGAATTGGGCACCATCTTGTGATCCAGTATCCAGGGATAAATTTCAGGTGAGTTCTGATGTTATAAAGAACATATTTTCCCTACCACTTCAAGCATATTTATAGATGTTCATTTGCTATTCAAAACTGAAAACAATTATATATAGTTACACTGAAAAATATCTGCATCATTCCTATGATCACATTTGACTGAATTGTGGCTCTGAGAAGTTTTATATGTTTTGGTTCAAAAAGAGGAAATTGGGCATTAAAGGATTTAAAGCACTTTAACTCCATTTCCTTTTGCATAATCTTTGAGGAGGTCAAACCTGGCACAAGAGCTGAAAACACCTGTTGAGGCTCCAAAGTTATTATTATCGAATTAGTGTAAATTTATCGGCCCGTCAGAAAAACTCCTGTTATGCTGTTGTTGGGAAGTTAAAACTGATGTGACACAGTCTCCCCTGGTTTGGACATTTAACGGCAATAGCCTGTTCATTTTATGACATCTTTGTAAAGATTTTGAACAAGTCAGACCCAAAATGTTACTTTGGTTGATTTTCAAATGTATGGAATAATAGCTCCTTCAAGGCTCTGAACACAATTTTATTCCTTCACCTTGACCTGAGGAGAGTCTGTAAAAGCTGGTTAAAATCATGTAAGTCAGCCATGTATCTAAAAAGATCTATGGTCTACATTTCTGCCTGCCATTATCTCAAAATTCCCACATTGTATTACCTTATCTCACTATACGCATGCTGTTTACCGTTCCTCTAAATAGCCTCCTGCAGACCCTAAACAGTCAGAGAGAAGGAAATATGTTTCCAAAAATGACCTGAAGTGACGTTCCCAGAGATGCTATTCTCACAACGCTCCTTTTCCAGCAAAATCTCAGTGGCCACATCACACATCTGCACCAGCAGCATCTGTAGGAGAAGCAGAAAGCACATTTAGAAATGAATATATTTCCATCACTGCAATTATATGCTAAAAGAACTCATACTTAGTGAATGAGGCAAGTAGAGAATTTCTATCCCGGGTAATATGTGCTAATAAATATTTTAGTTACACACATTCCTGTAACTGTAGCCTTTCACACTGTGTTTTGCTATAGAATGAACCCCTGGTTAATAATACAGTAAATATACAGAAATGTTCTCTACACCTGAAATCCAAATAGATCTCCCAAACAGATGCTATCATGCAAATGGATTAGGAAGTGCAGAAGGGAGCCACTGAGTAATCTACTGCAATTTTTCATCTGTGTCAAAAAAAGGCTGAAAAATGTGGGCTGACAGCTGCTGGCAGCGAGCCAGTGGGTCAATGAAAATGTGTAAGATGAGCAGTGAGGAGCTTGAGAAGGTTAGGGGAGATGAAGAGAGAGGCGGAGATGAAGTTGGTGTGAGGCAGAGTGTATTCATGAACTCCTAAGAGCTTCCACCATGCTACCACAGCTACAATATTAGTTCATTTATTTACTGCGAGACTCAAAGCAGTAAAGGTCACGGCGAGAGGAGTACTGCAGCACAAAGCACACAATATAATTGTACATCTCATGTTTTCTAATTGGTCCTTATAGATGTTTTTATATTCTGTATTTTTTTATGAGTCCCAATCAGCCTGGGGGTGTCAAAAACAAAAAAACCTCCCCATCAATCAGCCACAGATGCTCCTAAAAGACATGATGTTGCTGTAATCAGCAATCTGCAGTACGCTGCCATACACCCCAAAAGCCATTAATGAAAATAGACACCTCCCAAAGCAGCAGGCACATAAGCATTCAGTATGCATAAAGGAGTAATGACTCAATGTAATGCGGCAAAATAAACTCAGAAGTAGTTTGTGTTCATCATTTAAACAAGAAGTTAAGCACATAACTAATGTACCTGCTGTGCTGTGTGATCGAGAGCACACAAACAAAAACAAGCCACATCTGCGAGGAGCAAATTATGTAACACTACATCACAGAGTCACTTCCAACATTGCTACACAGTCACAAGAGACTGATAAGATGTTTCAGAAAGACATTTTAGACTGGTCTGCAGTGTTAGACCAGTTGAAATTTTACTTGTAGACCAGTACAATGTAAGTGAGGTGGTTTTACAACAATAAAGGCTCACTTATTATAATCATAAAAAGTTTGCCACCCTACCCCAAGGCTATAACTAATAACTAAAATCTGTGTTTCCATGGTAACAACCAGCGACACTGACCATGGCTTGCAATATAAATGCTAATAATAAAGAAGTGTGAGGCAGTAAGAAAGTCAAGAGGGTTTTTTTCTTGCGTTGTTACATTATTTGTTAAATGTTTCCAGTAAAAGATGCTTGTGACTTTTTGGTTCTTCCTGAAGGCATAGGTTTTCTGCTGGAGTGAAGGGAGCTGAGTGGCTTGATGTGGTTGTTCAGTCTCTCACATTTTATGTATTGAAAAAATTTTTAGTTTACCCAAAATTAATAGAATAGCAATTTAGCCCCTGTTGGTCACCTTTTTACTCTGGCTCTTTAAGCGTCATACAGTTCGTAGCGCTCACTGTTTTGGCCCGTTACTTCATTTGGATGTTTGAAGTCCATGTACTGTAAGTGCAGAGTGTGATAGAAGGCTGTTTTCATATTTCTCACCTCAAATCTTAGTTTAAAATGTGTGTACTGTGTGACTGTAGCTACTACATTTATTAATTGCAGCCAAATGACCTGTAAGCATTATAGTAACACAGCATCAGAGGCAACAAGGGTAACAATATGCATCATCTTCTACCACAGACTCCTGGTAAACATCAGTGGAAAATATGACACAAAAATGAAGTACATACTGTGCAGTACAAACGACTCCATGTTATTAACTTCCCTTCTGAGCTTAAGTCATCTCCTCACTCACACTCTCCCCCCATATATGAGGTCACCCTGACACTGTCATGATCTACAGAACTTTGCTGATAGAAGTCTTCACCTGCAGCTGATTACAGCCAAAAATCCAACCTATTGTTAAGTAATAGCAGCAGCACATGGGAGGCAGGAGATTAGTCTGCCAACATAATCTGTTCAGAGCAACATGGACAGAGGAGGAAAGCTCATGTTGGTCAAACCCTGTGGTAACTTTATCTTTCATTACCATGACACTGATTGTAACAGTGGAGAACTTCAGAAAGGATTTGAGTCCAAAGGCCCCTCAGAGGGAAAGGTAATATTTTATATCCAAGGTTCAGGTAGGCTGTGTGTGTGGAAACGTGAGAGTGGGAAAGGCCACTGATGACAACCCCAGTGTGCTCATTTTTCTGTCAGTTGATTGTTTTCACCCCACAGCTTTACTATTTTGGCCTAGTGCTCTCATTAACCTGGTTTCTTTCACCACAGCAGGAACTGTTTCCAACCAGAACACTCTAATAAACCAGTTATAGGCTATGGTTCCTACTCAGCACAGAATGACAGACAACATTAACAACTAGCTAGTGAACATAGTGAAGCATTTAGCAGCCAAGAGTCAAAGGTTGGTGACAAAAACCAGAGCTAAAAGGAGAGTGGATATTAGATTAAAATTCATCGGGTAGCCAGAAATATGACTCCAAATAAATGCGGATGTTTCTATGTGTCTATTGGATGTGGAAATGATCACCTGTATTCTAACATAGAATGGAAAGAAACTTTAGAAGACACGTAAAAGCAAAGACACCAATGACAGTTCTTTAGCAGTGAGTGGCTGAAATTAGTCACTTCGTGCCAACCACCATAAAACATAAAAACAAAAAGAAAGGTGACCACAACAAACACATTACAGTAAATAGAAGAGCCACTATGAAAGTAAGTCTCAGCCAAAACTTTTGAGGGTGCACAAACCACATTTTGAGGACTACTCAGTTTGCAACTCAGTATTTGACAGTGCACACAGATTTGAGAGCATAATCCCAGGCATGTTTCTGAGTCTGTGCTCTCTGATTTCTCCACTAGGTTTGTGTGAAAGTCTGTCAGTGCCTAAAAGGTTTGAAAATGCACAAAGCATATTTTGAACTTGTGTGCTCTCAAATTGTGACTTGCGAACTGAACAGTGCTTAAAACGTGTTTTCTGTGCTTCCAAAATTTTCAAAATCCCAGTGAAGAAATTTGAGTGCGAAGAATCCGAAATAGGCGCATGCATTGCTGAAATTACAAATCTGATTTTGCGCTTACAAATATGTGCCAGTGCAGTCTCAGATTTTGGTTTGCAAGCTTAGTGCCCTCAAACGTTTTGGTGGGAAATTATTTCCATAACCCACACACCCCAGAGCGTTATGACTAAGAAGACAAGAGTAAGATCAGCAAAAGATAAAGTGTCAGACAGCTGAGCAAGAAGGAATAAACCTCGGGCCAACAAAAACAGGATGGAAAGAAATTAAACAACGGGGTTTCCAAAGAAAACCTGGCGATGGTATCTGACCTGGCTTCTGCTAGGCACTGGCATTGGTTCCTATGTTGTAGAAGCAGTTTGGTGTGGAAATTACATTTTACTGTCTGTATTGTTTGGACCCAAAATTCAATATCCCAGTGTTAGGAGGGTGAATGCTACAAACACAACACTAACTAGCATGACTGGATTTATTTTTGACGTAAGATCAGCATTAATATCACATTTGCTGCCAGATGCATCCCAACTTATTAGGTCTTTCATTAAAAAGAGAAAACAGACATGACAGTGGGATCTGTGCATGGACTCTTACTGCAGGCTGCTGGGATCAAGGTATCATCATTGGATGGAGGTAGTTTATTAGTTCACATATTGTGTTATACATGTATTGTGTTCACCGTGTTGTGATTACAGCCAGAACACACAAGGTAGGAGACCTGTGATATATAGGACATGCCGAATTTGGGGTACATTTCCTAATCTATGACCATACAATAGAGGAGGGAATGGGTCCTGACAGTGATGTATTTTTGAGCTCTAAATGCTGGAGACAAATATCAAGTGCCTGCCAGTTAGAGATGCTAACATATCTATAGTATCTAGAATCTGGACAGCCCATCCATGGAAATTGCTGTGTTGGGCAATGAATCAAAATGTCTATTCAGATAATAAGTAGACCACTGCAAAGCCTCAGGCCTACACACATACACAAAGTGTCTCCATGGGAAAAACCTCACATAAATACCTTCTAGCTCTGATAGTTTGTTAACACAGTGCACATCACGAGGGCTGCCAGGCTGCTGCCTCACATTTTTAGTGATTGTAGTCATTTAAAATGGCTGCTGGGCTTGTCTTGTTTGAGGACAAGATAACAATCAAATAACAAATGAGAAGAGCTGACAGGAAAATGAAAGGAAACTTTGCGTGTAGCCACATGTGTTTATCCTGATCCTACACTTCAATGGAGAGCAACATGCGTATACTGTACCTCTTCAGCCATCTCCTCGTGTTGTCACGCTTGGGGTTGATTAACCACAACGTGTGCTTTGGACATTGGGTAAAGATTAAACAATTTTTCAGTCAAACAAATGTGAGCACAGGAAAACATTTTAGGATTGTGCTGAATAACCGCCGGCAGTCTGTGCAACAGCAAATATAAATTGCTCTGAAATTATAGTTGATATTAAAAATTTAAACTTAGTAAGTGCCTGGTGTAGCCACCCAAACCAGCTGACAAAACATTATCTTAATAAATGACCGATTTGGAGAAAACAGAGGTGATGTAAAGAATGGTCAACATATCTGACCCACACTGCAGGTCCTGTAACCTTAAGGTAGTACACATCTTTAACTTGAACCACAATTTTTCCATAAATTCTACCAAGTGGTTTTGGTCGGTATTCACTCCATAATCTTAACCATGTGTTTATTATTATAATCATGATAACGCAGGCCTGATGCAGAATTTCAGGTGACGCTCTTTTTGGTCTTATCAGAGGATACGGGCTAACAACCGATATGGTGCTTTAGGTTGGAGCACTTGCTGCCTGTGTGCATTGTGTTAAGTAAACCAATAAAGGTGACATCCAGCCACTGATATTCACTTTTTAACCACCTAAGAGATTTTCCACGTTACCCTCAACACCACCTTTTCTCAAGTCAGGGTGTGTTATTGCAAAATATCCACCTAGGACCGTGGAAAGCCTAAAAGCCACTACAATATATCAACAATGCTGTATCAAGATGATCTTATAAAGTCTTAGGGTGAGAACCACATCTGAGAGTATTGAAAGGTAAGGAAGAAGACGTTTTCACACAGTCACCTGGATGTTCACATCTGCCTGTAAAGGGTGTCACTGGCAGGCATTAAAGGAAGCCATGCTGAGTGTCAAATCACTAAAATGCACCCAAGGACACAACCATTATCACGATTTGAAACCTTCAGCTTCTTAGCATCACACTTCTTTTTGATTTTCACTCACACATCTCTGAAATTGTAACAAAAAATCCTGAAAAACACTCCTGATGACTGAAATTAGGCCTAGACTGATACCCGACGGGGATAAGATGCACTGGAGCTGTGTTCGGTAAAGGGAAGAGCAGCAGAACAGGTTTACCATTTCTTAATAGAGATCAAACATTTCTGAAAAATGTTTTCACTCTGCCTGGGCTTTGACATAGCCTACGGTTTGTTGTTAATTTCATTTATAAGCAATATCTTAGCTAATTATGTGTAGTTGAATTGATAGGTGTGGAAAGCCACCAGCACCCCCAGTGGAAGCTTCACAGCACCAAAATCCTTGCAGGAAACCTAAGGTACTGAAAGATAACATATGTGGCAATGCTCAAATGTTTTTGTCCAATTATCAGTCCCTATAGAATGTCAAGTATTTACTAAATATCTACCTGTGGGAGAATGTCGATCACCAGTGAGCCTGCTTTAAAATATTTTAGCAGATGTTATATGTATTTAACTATATTTACAAGATACCAATTAAGGGTATATATGAAAATGAAATCAGAAAAATCATACTAGTATTCACTGGACATTTGTCATTTAATGGTGGCTTGGCACAGACTGGTGTTCTTCCGCAGGCAAAAGGATAAAATATGTTGCTGAATTCCTAAAAAGTCAGATGTCTAGGATGAGATGTAGCTGAGAGTGAGGACACCTTTAAACTAAATAAAAGATGCACTTGACTTTATACTATATCAATAACTGCATAGATAGATAGATAGATGGATGGATAGATAGATAGATAGATAGATAGATAGATAGATAGATAGATAGATAGATAGATAGATAGATAGATAGATAGATAGATAGATAGATAGATTTTCAGCATCAGAAGATTGCCAAATTTAAAACAGTCATAATTTCTTCTAGTAAGGCGTCGTTCCTGTTGCGCCCGCGGTGATGGAAGTGGCCCTTTAATGCTATTAAACCTTCCTTTCTTGCAGTTTTTCGTTGACTAGGACGATTAAGTATAAAACATAAAGACGTATTTTTTTTCTGTTTAAACGGGTAAAAAGAACATTTTTAGAGTAAACGAGACTTACTTTTGGCTGACATCCATACAAAAGAAGCAGAAAGAAGAGCAGTGAAACATCCATTCTGTCTTTAGTTTTGGAGTTTTCTTATTCTAGACTCCTCGACACTGGCAAAACTTCTTCGTGGAATTGTTCAGGTGTGTGTGAAGACAGCAAAATTATATAGGTATATTTTTTGTACGTTGTGAGTTCATGAGGGTAAAGCGCTGCTCCCGCTCCAACGGACTGCGCGTTTTCCTTTGCGCTCCTCCGGCAGCAGAGCTGCATCTGTGTGACTGTACCCGCCCCTCCTCGCCCATTCACAACTCCAGACCGCCTGTCCCAGGAAACTGTTAACAAGGCTGTACGGCTGCTGGAGATGGACACGTGGTTAGGGGACGCTGGTGTAAAGAAGAGGGCCACTAATTAATTGTTGTGCAGTGATAAGGTGCGCTCCATTGCAAATGGGCGCAGGCGGCACATGAGGTGGCTGATATGATGATGATCGTCATCAACTAATAAACTATGATTGATAATTGGAGAAAAACGGTGGCCAGGTGAACTAGATATTACTCTAAACTATGCCACTACCAACTTTATATGTTGGACACTGGTATAATAAAATACCTTTCCTTTTGAGTTACACAAAGGAATATCAATGACTGAATTTAATTAATAAATATTATCCAAAAGGTCCAGGTACCAAGACAGCAATGTGATTTTATGTTAGCCTACAGTCTGGTTATTTCATTCAGTCATGATTTTACACACTCAAGATCAAGGAATGAATTGTCAAATTCAACAAGATTTTTTCTAAATAATAATCAAATAACCTATTTGCAAAATTTCTACAAAAGGTGGGATTCAGGCATTTCCCTGGAACTGCCTTGGTGGGGCTGTCCGTGAATGGATTGGCAAATAGGTCTACCAAGGCACAGACCCAGGGGCCCAAGAGGGGGACCTGGGCTGTAAAGTGACTGTCAATACTCTTGTCATAGCACTCAGTTAAAACAAAAATCACTATATACGGACATAAGGGGACTATAAAGAGACACAGAACTATTAAAACAAGATGCAAATCTACCAAACACAGACACAAAACAATCACAAAGAGATCCTAGACTACCATAAACACACGCCAAACACTGATGTTCTTATACAGAAGGCATGGGGGGCCTTTTACTTGTCTGTGTGCAGAATCCCATTTTCTCAAAATCCCCCCATCGGGGTGTCTTATTTGAATGGACCACTATCAACCAGCAGAACAGAACAAAACCAACAGCACAGATTTGCATTGTATTGCCCACATGCTTGTACGTACCTGTCCCCATGTGCCTACATGTGAATGCACAATACAAACAAAATGGGGACCTATAAAACCACAGCTTAGTACTGCTACTAGTGGCCAAAACATACTCCTGCAAAACTTTATGACTCCAGTCTTGAAGGCAGGCTACTCTTATCTGGGTAACATTGATCATCTATGATGTTGTAAAAGCCCCAGAGCCATTTGGTTTAATAAAGTAGTAATCAAAAGAGAACACAAAGGTCTGATGGTGTCTTGAATAGAGTCTGGAGATATAAAGTTGAACGTATGGACCAGAATGATACTCAGAAACACAACAAAGGAGAGATGCCTCCTGCAGGTGGCCAGCAGCTCTTTACCCTAATGTGAAAGTAGCAGCATGATTTGTGAATCCACTAAACAGCTGCTTGCTTTCCATGATAAACAGATAGTGCATTACCCAAATTGCACTGTGCATTCTCTTGTAATGGCCAATGCATAAAACTGAGAAAGGTAACATAAAAAATCAGGTGTCATGGAAATCCATATCAGACACCATAAAAATAGAAAGACCATTAGAGAAATCAGATCAGTTTATATCTGAGACTTTGACTCAACGAAAAGCAGAGAAAGATAGTGACAAGTTGGATGTGGGTCAAAGGGAGAGTTACAGAATGATCTATAGACCTTTGAAACCCCTCTATTACACCTCAGTCCCCTGCACCACACTGCTGCAGTTACACAGATACACTCATCGTCCATCCTGAGTTACTGGCTACAACATGTTCATTTCCTCCATCTTTCACTGGCTGTCTGCTGTCTGTGTCACAACTGATCAAACTGCACTCACAGCTGACCAGACCTCACAGCACAGCTTCATCCTCAGTCCCTGTGACAGGCCGAGTTCACCCTGTGAGGCATTTCTCTGCTCGAGCCCACTTATTAATATTGATGGAAAATATGCTTTGCACAAACCAGAATAACAACACAAACATGTACCAATGCAAAGAACATCATTGGTTGTTTTGCCATGTGTGGATTAAATAGAGCATGAATGCTATCCTGATGCTTTTCATTTTATAGTAAGGTCTTTTATTCCTATGTAGGTTTGTAGTCTATAGGATACACTATATCAAGATTGTTGTGGTCAAAGCATGCTGTATGCAACAAGTGCTGAACAATGTACAACTTGCTCAATGTGGAAATGTAAGAAATGTTGCTGTTAGAGTGCATTAGCAGGTGGTAAACAACCACATAATGTAAAAGACAGTAGCCACTGTTCAGTAAACATTACACAGTTGCTCTTATTTTCATTTCTTAATTTATCTTTGCCGGTTACTGTCTGAGTCAGCCATGTTAAGGTATAAAGGTGATTTGTAGGTGGATCAGCATCATATTACAAACCAAATTTAATATAAGGCATGAATAAATGTGTTTATGGCTTTGCTTTCAAAATGGATCCACATTTCATTTGTTTATGTTTTAAACAATGGCACATAACAATTAACAGAATGAAACTAGAGTTGCAATACGACCGTCATCACTGTAACCAGGTATTGTGGCCATACAATGTGTTTCCAGCAGGCACCTAGCAACATCGCTTTCCTGCATCCATTTTAAAAAGAGAAGCCTTAACCCAAGGTGAAGGTGATAGCATTAGTGTGTGTCATTTTTCAGCCTGAGATTCAAATGCATGCGGGCAGGATGTTAGCCAGCTGAGCCTGGTCAGAGAGAATAGACCAACAGGAAATTCGGAAGTGAGCTTCTATACTTTTTTGCCACAGATATTTCACATTAAAAATGTATCTTTGTTATTTGCAAATAAAGGGAAATAACGAGTGTGCCATTATGGATTCAGATCAAGTGAAGCAATAGCAGAGCATAACTTGAGTCAAGACTTGAATCAGTTCATTCCAAGCTACAGCAAAATTAAGCTGCTCTATTTCATTTGACTGCTTTTTAGGCTTTTCTCTCTAGGAACTTAAAACCTATTGAAGGCAAGAAAAAGAAAGGAGCAATGATCATGTAGGACTGGTTTTTCTTCAATCCAAAAAATGCTTTACACAGTTTTTTGGCAAATTGTTGTATCAATAAAGTTTTAACTGATCTGCTGCAATCAGAGGTCAAACCGATGGGTTTCTTCCTGTCTGGATATGTAATTAAAGTAATTTATGGAGCAGTTAGCAGAGGAGGCAATAATGATCATTTTACTCCAGTGGCCATGCTGCCATGGCCAAAAGACCAGCCTGGTGATGCACCAAGTAACCAATTTGCTCAAATTTCTGGAAGACAAACTTGTGGCATACAAGCATTTCCCAGTGCTGTACTATGGAATTTACTGCATCTCAGCTTTTGCTTGATTTATAAAAGCAATACATTTCCATACACATGTTTAAAGACAGCTGGCTCTGTGGTGAGTGCAGCAGCTGAATGTTTGGAATTATTTTACTACAAGAGTTTTTCTGCATGTCAGTAAAGGAGGCATATGTTTATATAATGAGTGCCAGACCTCAGCACAGTCTGGCGCCTTTGCATAAGTTCTCTTTGCTTAAAGGGTCTCCGTGTCCTAAAGGGTAGTTTGCACTTTAGCTTGGCTGCTCTGATTTTTTGCAGTGGACATGAGCAAGTTGCTAGAAGAAAACATGATGGTATGCTGTGATGAAGCGTACCATCATGTTTAGAACCACGACCACTGGTCCAGTGTACAGCTGCATACAGCTGGTTTAATACACCACTGGTTATAGTAAAAAAAAGAGCATATTTATGAAGTATAACATGTTTATTTTCCATTCATATTTAATAAATCAAACACAAATACTTAGCTGCAACCATTTATGAGCAAAAGTAACATTATTTTGAAATATCAAGTGCCATGTAACTGTCATTTCAAGGTTCTTTTGCCTCACATTAATTTTATCCAGATGTGTGAAACCTCAGGTTCTTCACTTACTGTACATTTGAAGGCCATAACCATTTCACACTCCAAAAACAGTGATTACAGTAGGGCAAAAGGTGAGGTGTCAGTGTGAGAGAGCGTTCTGCTAAGCTAATTTCCCCTCTGGGAGATGTGAGTGAGGAGCGACTCAGCTTTTCTCTGCACTGGCTCTCTGACACTAACCCACATAGAGTACCTGAAGACGCTGATGGGTTTTGTTGGAGGGGGATATTGTGAGCCTGACTTTTATACACTCATTGCAGATCAGTTACGTGCTATCTTCTTCTGTTTGACATCAGCCAGCTATTTATTTTAATGGTTTCACAAATTCCCATGAGAGTAAACTAAATAACGGAAAAGAGGCTTGTATGTTTGGACACACTGCAGTGTTGACCACAAAACTCTGGCTAGAATGAAAATTAGTTCAGAGTTAACTGCTGTGTTGAACTGAATCCAGTCCAGGCCACTGAAACACAAACTATTTTAAAGTCTGTCAAAACATTGGATCACACCATGACCAGCTTCACAGTGGTACACATTTTCCAGTGTTTGGTCATGTCCAGAACACCTCCACAGGAAGGTATCCAGAAGGCATGGAGCCCAAGCAGGCTCACAGATCTACTGGCATAGCAGTCTGTTTAATAGCAAACTGATAATGCACAAAATGCATCATAGTGTAAAAGTTGGAAATGCTGAATTGTCATTATAACATCATGGTGACAATAGCAAAAGCCAGAACATGTGCTCCAGGCATTATCATTATGTACATGGCTAAAACAAGCCAGAGGGTTTTAGTTTCATTCCTTCTATTCCCCTTTAACAATCCCCACAATAACCTAATAATCTATCATTTAGGTACATTTCAGCCTGTCTTAGAGCCAGCAAGATGATTTGTACTTTGAACAAGGATACCCGAAGATCTGCCTCGGGAATCAAAATGAAACCGGTCCAATTCTAACCTTCAGTGATGCTGAATAAGAGTAATTTTGTTAAAACTCTTTCTTCAACAGCCTCCAGTTGTCAGAGCAATAACAGTTAAAATAGTAACACCACTGATGAGTG